CCCCAGGAGTCGGATGTTTTCTTTGTCCCCACCAGTGGCCTATCGGGAGAAAACCTGACTGTCAGGAGTTCAGTAGCAGAACTCAGGTCTTGGTACAGTGGAGCCAGCCTGCTGGAGCAGATCGGTAATGCACGCACTTCTTACATCTAATGTTTTAATTGTCTTTTATCATCCAGAAGCCTCTTTGGTTAAAAAGGATAGGGTCCAAAACTAAATCTGTCGGCAGATTATTTTGTTTTGTTTTTTGTGCTTTGTTCTTTGCTGTCGTACTGATTAAAGTTTATTTAAAGTAAATGTGAAGATGTTAGATTAAAATCACTACACTACCACTTGACAGTTTCATAAAGCCAGTTTCCTTCTGACAAGTAGTGCTCACCTGATTCTGTGTTCGTAAATTCTAACGTCAAAGGTGGGGCTTGAGAAAGCATAAAAGTTTTTACTGTTATTCAGGAAATAAGTATCTTGGCAGCAGTTAGATTTAATTAAAATAAATACACTGCTTTGTGGTCTGTTTAGTTTCCCAATGATGCAGGAAGAATATTTCTTTCAATCCTGCTGAAACTTTTGGTACGTTTACCAACTCAGATTATGCAGCAAGCTTTTTTTTTTTTGTGAAGTTTTCTTCTGCAGCATTTGTTTCATCTGTTTCAGATACTTTCCATTTACTTTCCTCCCAGAGGTGCTGGTAGCGTTTTAGCTTTCTGCCACTGAAATATTGCGACAGATGCTTTCTTTTGGACAGTGCATTTCTTGTGTCAGCATTGCCTGGTTCCGATGAGTTCATGTTTCTGTAGAGTTTTACGAATCTTACTGTCCCATGATTGTAAAAGTGCTGACCCTCCGGTCTCAGTCCAATACTTGAGAAAATGATTCAATGCTCACATGCCATCAGACCTTTCGCAAGGTTTTGTTTAAACACATTCCTGCCACTTATTGTTTACTTCCTCCTCTTCTGTCGTTTGTTTCCTTCTGTTTTTTAGATTTATTCAAAGCCCCTCAGAGGTCCATAGACAAACCCTTCAGACTGTGCGTCTCAGACGTGTTCAAAGGTAAATGCTGATTTTGCACATTAAATTGTATTAATGAGCCTCTTTGTGTCGTGTGTGTTAGGTTTGTTCATTTTTTATTTTCTCTTTCTGCAGACCAGGGCTCAGGCTTCTGTGTTACAGGGAAGATCGAGGCGGGTTCTGTTCAGACTGGAGACAAAATACTGGCAATGCCCCCGAATGAAACTTGCACTGTTAAAGGTCCGATCACATTGATTGTTGCTGATTGATGATTTTTTAATATATATATATATTTTTGCCTTAGATGAGACATATCTTGTTAAACGTGCAACAGTTATGAGCATTTAAAATAAAATCTCCTCAGTTTTTCTGCATCTATTGAAAGAGTTGCAGATGGTAAACACTGCCCCCCTGTGGCCACTAGTGTACATTAAACATCCTCTCTTTTTAGGAATCACTCTCCATGATGAGGCTCTGGACTGGGCTGCAGCAGGAGATCATGTCAGCCTCACTGTCACCGGCATGGACATCATTAAGATAAAGTAAACAAGTGACCTTTAAAAGCGCAGCAGTGCATCAAAGTCGACGTTTCCTAAATGAATTTTGTAATCCATTTTTTGGATTGTAACGCTTGGCTTTTTATGACTCATAACTCTGTAATCTGCGGTTTTGAATATACCACTTTGCTCTGCTTTCCATGCAAATCCTTTTGTCTGCGTCCCTCCAGCGTCGGCTGTGTGTTCTGCCATCCGAAAGAGCCGATTCGTGTCTGTACTCGATTTAAAGCCAGAATTCTCCTCTTCAACATTGAGGTTCCCATCACACAAGGCTTTCCTGTGAGCAGCCCTGACGTCTTTTCTAGAAGTTTGATGCAACAAGAAGGCTTTTATAGAACTAAAAAAAATATATTTTTAATTTGCAGGAAAGCTAAAAAGTAGATGTGTTCATTTCCACGAACACTTGAAGAGTTATCAACTGTTATTTCTCAGCATTTGCATTAAAAAGACGATATGTGTATACTACCAACTGTCCTCCCTTTACCTTTAAAGGGGAAATGCCATGCAAAATGTATGTTTTTAACTGTTAAATGCATTTTGTTGTGTAATTCGAGTCTCCATAAGTGCAGAAAAGTTTAAGTTTAGTAAATCTTCTCCACAGGTCATGTTTGTCTAATAGAAACCTAAAAATAATCTAATATATAGCTGTGTAGATATTACATAAATCAAAGATAAAAGCAATTTGTAATATTTAATAATTTGTGGTTATTTGTAGCATGATTCACATTATTTAAAATCCACAACTCCAATGCAAACTAAAGTTTAAGAGTACGATTTTGTGCTGCTGTTTTATTTTACAGTCTGTGTGCTTCCTGCAGGTGCTGCTTCATTACCAGACGGTCAGCGAGCCGGCCACCATCAGAAAACTGATCAGTGTTCTGCACAAGAGCAGCGGTGAGGTCCTTAAGAAGAAACCAAAGTGAGTTTTGGCAACATCAGATCCAATTTTTGATTCTGAATCTGCACAGAGTTGCTCAACTGTTGTATTTTTTTCCTCCCACGTCAAAATTTCGGGATTCTTCACCCAGTTTTCTAAATACGAGTCGTTTTTTTAGTAGAGCAGATGATTATACCTCATGAATGTGAGTTTTGTTCATTTCGGCAGTGTTTTCCTTGTTTAGGTGTTTGAGTAAAGGTATGAATGCCATCGTGGAGATCCAGACCCAGAGGCCGGTGTCGTTAGAGCTGTACAAGGATTACAAAGAGCTGGGCCGCTTCATGCTGCGATACGTGGGCTCCACCATCGCTGCAGGGGTCGTCACAGAGGTAAAATACCACCATCGTTCACAAACTACTGCCACTTTTTAAGAAAACACGCTTTGATTTTGATTTTTAACTTCTTTTCTGCAGATCAAAGAATGAAGGTCCTCTCTGCCAACACAGAGCATGTCAAACTTTGCCACAAACAGAACAAATCCCCCAGGAGATCCCACTCGTGGAACCAGAGCTTCGTTTTTTTTCTCTCCATCCGGTCCTCGGTGTAACCCGACTGCTTCACCTAACACTAACTTCACAAACACCAACCTTGTCTCTGATTACCCAAGATCAAACTTAAAAAAAAATCCTCCTCAAAGGTTCCAGACTCTTCATTTCACAGTGTTTTCACCGAATGAGCTGCTCTCTGCTTTATTTTAGTTAACCAACAAAACCAAATTCTTTTCTTTAACTCTCAGCGTCCTGTTTACAACCAGTTCTCCAGATGAAAAAAAAACTGAATCAAAACCTTAAAAAATGAACGTGTTACTCGGGATTTAATAAAAAAAAAAAGGGATTGTTAATGTTTGCCAAATACTTTTTTTTTTTTCATTTTAAGTAGCATGGCTGAGAAAAACATGATTTTAGTGCCCAGGCAGTTGTTTGTAAAAGAAAAAAAAATTACTTTGGATGAAGACAAATGATTTAAAATGCTTCCAAAAATAATGTGAGTAAAGCAGCAAACATGCACTTCTAAGGGCTGATTTTTTTTAAAATTTATTTTATTTTTATTTTTACTTTATTTGGTGGTTTAGGCATTTTGATTTGAAATCTGGAGATGTTGAATGAGTTTGACAGCAGCAGCTTAAAAAAAGGTTTACATTTTGGTCAAATTGATTCTACCAGCTGAGGGGAAAACCCCACCACAAGACAGTCCTGCGTGTCCACAAACCTAATTTCCATTTCTTTTTTTCAAACTGCATCTGTCTTCACGCAGAGAAAAGAGGCAGCGATCATTTCCTGTCAGCTGTAAGAAGAGACACCGGAGCAGCTGGTGGTCTCTGAGTGGAAAGCACCACAGAAAACAGGTCTCATCCTTTAACAAGAAGAAGGAATAGTGCTGCATACATTTTGCAAAATAAAAAAAAAGCGATTGCACTTGCAAGCTTGATTTTCTGTTTCCTGTTGATGTGTTTGTTCCACTGCTACTCCAGGTTTACAAAAAAAAAAACTTCAGTTAGAGTCGAAGAGATTTTGAGTCACTAATGATTGGGCAGTTTCAAAATGTTTCCATTTAAAATATATTTTCTTGGAAGGCTATTAGCTCTATTTTTATGTTTCTTGATTGTCTTTCTACAGAAAACAAAGTGTTACGTCGTGTAAAAAGATTTAGAACGTTTGCGTTTATAATTACTTTTTATTGGAACATTAAACAGCAGTTTGCACAGGTTTAATACTAGATTTCTGCTCTGTACTTAAAGGGACAATTCAGATAATTTTTGAAAGTAGGATGTAGTTGAAAGATTAAAAGTAATGAATATCTTACCAGTTGTAGATAGCTCTTTTAATTAACTCAGTTTGGGCTAATGAGCTAATAGGTAGTCAGAGCCAAAGCTAAAGTAGATGGCTGGCTAGCACCAAGCTAAGTGTCGTTATGAGCAGTTTGAAAACTTGATTTTTATTATTATTTTTACTTAATGTCTGGCGTGATGTCATCAGGATACATGACTCTTTGAAGGGAGTTGAAACTTATGGATTCGTTCCTTTCAAGGATCTGTATTTTGAACGGTTAGTCTTGCTGATATGAACACGGTTTAATGTCACATGACTTGTTCAGCTTGAAGTCCCCCCTTCTGAGTGCATGTTCTCCGCATAAAACTGCTGCTGCGCCCTCTTTGTTTTTTTCTTTTTTGTTGTGTTATTATTTTTATTATTGTTTCAGTTGAGAAGCAAAAGGAGGAGCATTTAGAGAGGAAAACACGAGGAGAACATAAATAAACATCTCACCTGTCTGCGATTAAATTCCCATCGTCCGTTTCAAAGAGCCGCTCAAAGGATTCGAATCATTTTACTCCGCTGCAGTGGTGCTCAGTCGGTCACAGATTTGTAATATTTTACTCACTTTTTTTAAATTTTATTTATTTATTTTTTGCCACTTTTTAATATTTCACTCCTCTTACCTTCAGAAACTCGTTGGTCCCATTTCCAGAGTTTTTCCCTACTGTGAATCAGAGGCGGTAGAATCACTGCCAAGGTGGTTCTTAATAGTGATGTGCAGATCGATACGGAAATATCAATACTACCGATACCACAACTTTATGCCCTAGAATCGATACTAAAATAAAAATATCAATACTTTAGTTATTTCACATAATATAAATTATTAACAGTAAAATAGTGGAAAATAACTAAACTATTCAAATCTTGTCTTAATCCTGTGGTTGGAGGGAACTACTTTTTCTTCCGCTTGGGTAATGCATGCGCACAGTGGCACGTGCTCAGTCACTCAGTCTGTAGACGTTGCATGTATGGCAAGTCATTTTAACATAAAATCTGCTTAATCTGACTGTAATTAAATTCTAGATGAGGGGTTCCCAAACTTTTTCACGCCATGGCCCCCCAAACAGCATTGGCTCTGGCCAGGGACCCACAAACAATGCTACAAAATACAAAGTAACAACTTTTAAGAATATTTTTTCTCACTTTTATTCACTATTCAAAAATTGTTTTATTTCTTTAGTATAAGAATTTTAAATTGTGCTAAACAAATATAGGGTTAGGGTTGGAAAGTCTTTTAAATTAAATAAATTACTGTCATGTATTATTACCTCCGCCAAGGGAGGAGGTAATGTTTTTGGTCGCGTATGTTTGTCTGTGGACAAAATTACTCAAAAACTTATGGATGGATTTTCATGACATTTTCACCACAAGTGGGTATTGGCCAAAGGAACACACCATTAAATTTTAATGGGGTTATAAGGGGGTTAGGGTTACAGGATATAAATGGAAGTCATTTCAAAGTCTTCATGAGGATAGAAGAACAAACGTGTGTGTGTGAGAGGAGGAACTGAGCTAGATTTAATAGAAAAATAGGGATTATAAAAATGTCAAGGAGGTTTAAGAAACAGAATAGTCTCATTTAGCAGTTTGTGATTCCAAGAATAAAGAAATTCAATCAGAAAATAGATCATTTTGTAGAACCAACAGTGACTCAGTGCCAACAGACTGATCCCTGACTGAATGCTAAAATGAAGCTTTACCATTTATTTACAGTTAGATTGTATCTTTTTGCACAGATAAAGCTTTTAGTTTTGTCTCTGTCTAAATGTTTCTCAGCAGCTACAGTGTTAAACACTACTCATATTGGTGACTTGGAGGAATATCCAGTCACTCCTGCAGCTGCTTGCCACATGTGGGAGGATCAATAGGGTCAGGTTAAATAAGTTCACCTCTTTGGCGTCCGTGCACGTTTGAGAGATTAACCTGCAGCAGCTCACGTTTTCAGTTTTGCTCTTTTGGTTTGGAAGAGTTCTCTTTGACTTCAGCCATGCAGAAAAGCTCAGAGCAGCCCTCTCTTCTGGTCTTGGAGAACTTCATCGGAGGAAAGTTCATCTCTTGCAGAGACCATGTCGACTCCTATGACCCCTCCACTGGAGAGGTCTACTGCAAAGTACCAGACAGCAGCAAGGAGGAGGTGGGCAAACCTCACAAACACTCATGCACTTTAAAGACTCTGACATGCATTTTGTGAACGCTTTTGTACACAGTTTATACCAACTGTATCCTAAAAACCTTTACAGAGAAGCTATTTAGTTACTTTATAGTGTAATAACTAATTTTTCAAAAACTTGGTAATTACGAGTTAAAGCAAAGGTCTGAAAATGATCAGGAAATGAACTTTTTAGAACTTCAGAAACATTTTTCTTGGAGTCTGAGGTAATTCAGACACTTTCAGAGGGATGCACCTTTGATCTTTGCAGAGTCGACAGCAAAGTAATCATTAAACACTCGATTGTTTGCTCCTTTTTCTACATAAGTGATAAAACTAGAGAGTTAAAACCTATGATAACAAGCTTAAGTCTCATGTCTGAGTAGGAACAGGTTAAATAGGGATTTTATTTTTCGTTGTTCCATTTTAAGATTCTGACATGGTTTTACAGAGAGCAGGAGGTTCTGAGACGGAGCCTTTTTAAGAGAATAAAATAAAAACAAAGTGACCAGTTGCACATCTGTCTAATCCTTTTGAATAACTAGATTATCTTTCACCCACTTTTGCTTTCCGTGTTGCTGCTGTTTTATCTCCTGCAATCATTCGAGAGGCGAGTTACACTCTGAACAGGTCACAAGTCCATCACGGGATAAACCATTCACACTCTCACCTACACTTGCACCGTTTAGAGCTACCAATTAACCTAACATGCATGTTTTCAGTCAGTGGAAGGAGAAAACACACAGGTGTGTAAGAGTTCAGTCTTACACTTCTTATAGCAAAGTTATACGAGTAATTTATTTAGCAAGGATCACTTTTATTTTGGGTAAACATTCCTCCAGTGCAAAAATGAATGGACACTAGAAGTGACTCTCTGTCAGTGAATGTTGATTTGATCCATTTAAATTGCGATCATTTATTTTACAAATCATACAGAATCACTTCGTCCTGGTCGTGGAACACTGGACCAGCTCTACACCCTCAGCAGGGTCCTGGAGGGTGCATGGGAGTTCGCCCAACCTGTCTACATGTGTTTTGTGGACTTGGGGAAGGCGTTCGACCGTGTCCCAAGGGGGGCCTTGTGGGGGGTTCTCCGGGAGTATGGGGTACCGGGCCACTTGATACGGGCTGTCAGGTCCTTGTACGACCGGTGTCAGAGTCTGGTCCGCATTGCCGGCAGTAAGTCGGGCTCGTTTCCGGTGAGAGTTGGACTCCGCCAAGGCTGCCCTTTGTCACCGATTCTGTTCATTACTTTCATGGACAGAATTTCTAGGCGCAGCCGAGGTGTTGAGGGGATCCGTTTTGGTGGCCTTAGGATCGCATCTCTGCTTTTTGCGGATGATGTGGTCCTGTTGGCTTCATCGGAACGAGATCTGCAGCTCTCGCTGGAGCGGTTCGCGGCCGAGTGCGAAGCGGCCGGGATGAAGCTCAGTGCCTCCAAATCCGAGGCCATGGTCTTGAGCCGGAAAAGGGCAGAGTGCCTTCTCCGGGTCAGGGGGGTCGCCCTGTCTCAAGTGGAGGAGTTTAAGTATCTGGGGATCTTGTTCACGAATGGGGGAAGAACGGAGCGGGAGATCGACAGGCGGATTGGCGCAGCGTCTACTGTAAAGCGGGCGCTGTACCGGTCCATCGTGGTGAAGAGAGAGCTGAGTCAGAAAGCGAAGCTCTCGATTTACCGGTCGATCTACGTTCCTACCCTCATCTATGGTCATGAGCTTTGGGTCATGACCGAAAGAACGAGGTCCCGGATACAAGCGGCCGAAATGGGTTTCCTCCGCAGGGTGGCTGGGCTCTCCCTTAGAGATAGGGTGAGAAGCTCGGTCATCTGGGAGGGACTCAGAGTAGAGCCGCTGCTCCTCCACGTCGAGAGGAGCCAGTTGAGGTGGCTCGGGCATCTGGTAAGGATGCCTCCTGGACGCCTCCCTGGTGAGGTATTCCGGGCACGTCCCACCGGGAGGAGGCCCCGAGGAAGACCCAGGACACGCTGGAGGGACTATGTCTCTCGGCTGGCCTGGGAACGCCTTGGAGTTCCCCCGGAGGAGCTGGAAGAAGTGGCTGGGGAGAGGGTGGTCTGGGCCTCCCTTCTGAAGCTGCTGCCCCCGCGACCCGACCCCGGATAGGCGGAAGAAAATGGATGGATGGATGGATGGACAGAATCACTAAGTACACTTAATTGTGGCAATCAGTTTCCTATAAAAGTTTAGAACCGACAATAACAAGCTTCTAGCTTCTTAAATTGTCAATAAACACTTAAATAGAAACACAAACGTCAAGCTTTGATGATGAATACCAGACATTTGAGGACTTAAGAACATGGACTAAGGCTCAACAACATATTTTTGGCACAAATGGAACTCCATATTGTAGGGAAGCGTTAGTGACATGAGCAGCTTTTGAAGCTAAACAACTAAGTTATAACCATTATTTTGTTTGCTAAGGTTGATTAGCTGCATCTCAGATTTGGATGTGTCAAAGTAGAGAATTTAAAGGAATGGTGAGATGTTTGAGAATCGGTTGTGTGACACCGGACATCCTACGCCTGCAGGTGGACGCAGCTGTGGCAGCGGCTAAAGAGGCCTTCCCTGACTGGTCAGCCCGCAGTCCACAGGAGCGAGCCGAAGTCCTCGTGAAGCTGGCCGATCTGATTGATGCCAACATGGAAGAGTTGGCCCAAGCTGAGTCCAGAGACCAAGGTACCGTAACACCGTTTGGTTGATTGGGTTGAACAGTTGGTTAGCGATGTGCGGATCAATACTGAAATATCGATACTACCAGTAACAGAACTTTATGGCCTAGAATCGATACTGAAGTCAAAATATCAATACTTTGATACTTCAGTTATTTCAGGTAATGTATATCACAGACAGTGGAAAAACATAAACTATTGAAATCTTGTCTAAATCTTATGTGGTTGGAAGAAACTACTTTTTCTTCCATTTGGGTTATGCATCAGCACAGTGGCACAGGCTCAGTCAATCACTCAGTCTGTTACATGTATGGCAGGTCATTTTTACATAAAATCACCTTTGTCTAACTGTCTATAATTACATTCTAGATGTTCCCATTTTTTCCAAACAGCATTAGCTTCTGGCCAGGGACCCTCATGCAAACCTACAAACAATGCGATAAAATATGTCACCAAACATCAACCTTTGGAATGTTTTTTAAAAAAAATTTTCACTATTTAAAAATTATTACATTTTGTTTATCATAAGAATTTTTAATTACGCTAAACAAATCTAAAGGGGTTGGAAAGACTTTTAAATGAATAAATAAATTACTGTCTTGTATTCTTTATAAAGTAGTTATTTGAAAAACGCTACTTTGTTAGATTTAACAGGCATGTTATGTGTGTTATCACAAAGTATCAGTTTCGGGTCAGTATCGCCAATACTAGCCTGAGTTTACTTGGTATCAGTATTGGAAAGAAAATTGGCAGTATCGAACATCACTAACGGTCAGTTACTGCAGGTATAGTAAGTTGCTTTAACTGTTGCAGTTTCAAATAAGCGTCAAAAACAGGTGAAGTCAAAGAGGAGAAAAGCCAATTTTAGCTGTTTATCCTGGAAATATAAGATGAAATATGTATTTAAGCAAGAAAACAGTGTTGGTAATATGTTTTGGACAGCAGTTAAGCTATGATCCAATTTGACTGAATGCTTAGAAAGCAGAGAAAACAAAAAGTGCAACACGTTGAGAAAATGACGTCTCCATTTTTGGGTACAGGTAAAACCCTGACGGTTGCTCGGACCGTGGACATTCCTCGATCGGCGTACAATTTCCGCTTCTTTGCGTCGTCCGTGCTCCACCACACCACCGACTGCAGCCAGATGGACCACATGGGCTGCCTGAACTACACCACGCGCTGTCCAGTGGGAGTAGGTGAGAGCTCAGCGTGATTTAATGTCTCAGTGTTGTCTCTCTGTGCCTGGAGTGTGAAACGGTGATTTCTGGTGTATGGCAGCTGGTCTGATCAGTCCCTGGAACCTCCCTCTGTACCTGCTGACCTGGAAGATCGCGCCGGCCATTGCCACGGGCAACACGGTGGTGGCCAAACCCAGCGAGATGACCTCGGTGACCGCGTGGATGCTCTGCAAGCTGATGCAGCAGGCTGGTAGGGCCACAGTACGGCAAGCAATTCAAGCATTTATTTTAATGTATGGCATGACATTTAAGGGTTTCTGAAGTATTCTTGAGAGCTGGCATCATATCCCTCTATTGGTTGATGCTTTGCTGCACTAGTTGAATTAGTCTTGATTATTGGTGTCCCAATACTAGTTTTTCTCAAACCAAGTACGAGTACTTTAGTTTGGGTACTTACTCATACCGAGTACTTAGGACTTAAATATTGGACAAAACCTTTAAAAACACATTTCTTTTATTCAGAACAAGGTGTCTCTCCTTCCTTATTGGTCTACAGCTCCTCTGACAGGATCAGATGAAACACAACATGATAGATACTGTTATAACATTTAAATAAATACAAATATGTAATAATATAAGTACAATTTTATTTCAACTTGTATTAATTTCTTAAACATTTCACTTGAAATATAAACTGTAACACATTCAATGGAGTATCGATAATTAATACTAGTACTGGTATTGGTCCAGAGTACTGAGGCATTTTGTATGAGTACAAATACTTGTAAAAATGCTGGTATCAGAGGCCCGATACCAGTATCTGTACTGAAATACCACTAATCTTCATAAATTATTTGAACTCAACAATGACGCATATTTACCAGCTAGTTGGAGCAGAAGCTACTGGTCAGTTGGATCATCAGACCAAATTATAAACAAATGTGTTGCACTAGTTAACAAGTCAGCTTTAAAAACTCTACTAGTATTTCAAGTGACTGCCTAATGTTCACACTAGTTGATCAGTGCAACTTTACTGAAATATTAACCTCACTTGTTTACTATTTAAGGCCTGTTTTGATCTTACTAGTTTGGCTAAAAGGACAAATTAACTTGTAAGTTACAAAATATCACTGGTTGATCAAGACAACTAACTTGGACCTCACAAATAAACTAGTAAAGCCTGAAATGTACACTAGTTAATAAGTTAAAGCTTTTTTCAAACTTTATTGTAAACTACTGATGCTAGATAAAGTTTACCAATTACCCAGTTATATTAATGTTCATTAATGTAACTAATGCATATTTTAAGCTTTATTAATTAACTAGTAAAATGTAAATTGCTAATTTGCAGACTAGTTCAGTACCGTTTTACCCATAGTTGTTGACTCGTGCACCTTTTTACAGTAAAGTCTAAAACATTAACTCTAGTGGAACAAATTCCAAAATTGGTCTCATTACTGCAACTAATTACTTTTTTGTGCTTTATTAGTTAACTAGTAAAGTCCATAATGGTCACTAGTAGATAGTTTGACTATACCTTTACGTAATATTTGAAGTGCACCAGGTAACTAATAAGTTTTAAAGGGATCCACGATTAGTTGTAACATTAAAGTTTATTTGATAAACATTTATTCTAACTGTAAAATAAAGACTGTAAAAATACTGTAGGCTGTTTATTTTTGTAAATTTTTTAAAATATATTTTAACACGGACGGAGCCATTTTATTTACACGCAAAGCATTCTGGGTAAATGATGACATCAACTAGGTCCTCGATGGAGGCTGCTAGCGAGCTATATCCACCCTGAAGGTTAATCTTGGACAATATCTGATRATCGACTCTTTTAAATGAAACCAGAGAGCGTTGACAGAGAGGAGAAGGTAGAAATGACTCAGCCTGTAACTGAAAATATAGATGGAGGACAACAGAGCTGCTTCATGGAAGAAGAACCTCAGCTTAGCCTGTTAACCTTCGCACTAGCCGTCACGCTATATTGCCTTATATGTATTAGCTTGGCGCTATGACGACAAACAAGCTAAACTGAGGTCCTCCATCCATATTTTCATTTGCAGGCTGAGTCATTTTTGCGTTCCCCTCTCTGTCATGTGGATGGAGGACATCAGTGATGAGAGGAGAATGTGTAGCGCTGAGTTAATACACATATATGGTGATAGCATCGGGGCTAATGCTAAAGCTAACAAGCTAAGCTGAGTTTCCTCTTCCATGAAGCAGCTCTGTTGTCCTCCATCCATATTTTCAGTTACAGGCTGAGTCATTTCTACCTTCTCCTCTCTGTCAACGCTCTCTGGTTTCATTTAAAAGAGTCGATCATCAGATATTGTCCAAGATTAACCTTCAGGGTGGATATAGCTTTCTAGCAGCCTTGTGCCGATGACCTAGTTGATGTCATCAATTTCCCAGAATGCTTTGCGTGTAAATAAAATGGCCCCGTCCGTGTAATATATTTTTAAACTTTTAGTTGAAAAATTATAAAAACTGAACATCCTACAGCATTTTTACAGTCTTTATTTTACAGTTAAAATATACGTTTATCATATAAAGTCTAATGTTACAACTAATCGGGGATCCCTTTAAAATATTCATTAGACTGCTGTTTGAATGAAGAATAAACAAAGGTAGATAAATGAAAATACCCTCTCACTGGTAAATTAGTTAGGCCCATTGCTCAGTTAGTTAGAGTCACTTTAATTCAATACATGAAGCACTTTATGCTAATTAACTAGTCCATAATGTTGCACGCAGAGGTTACAGGACTTTGCTCATAAATCACACGACTGAGAAAAGATTAAACACAAAGCTGTCTGTCTGCTGTAGGTGTCCCTCCAGGGGTTGTCAACATTGTTTTTGGCACTGGTCCCAGAGCAGGGGATGCCCTGGTGGGCCATCCTGATGTCCCTCTGATCTCCTTCACCGGCTCCACCGTCACCGCCCAGCGCATCACGGAGCGGAGCGCCCCCTACTGTAAGAAGCTCTCCCTGGAGCTGGGAGGTAAAAACCCCGCCATTATCTTCGCCGACGCAGACCTGGAGCAGTGCGTCGCCACGACCGTTCGCTCCAGTTTTCTCAACCAGGTGCGTCAACTGCAGCTGGAGACGTTGTGCAGGAGAGTGTAATGACTCGTTCTGTCCACATGGTGGGGATATTAGTTCAGGTTTTGCCAGGGGAAAGGTTTGACTGAAGTAAATTTCTGAGCAATTTCTTACCCTTTCCTTTTTGTTTCCCCTCTCAGGGAGAAATCTGCTTGTGTACCAGTAGGATTTACGTAGAAAGGAGTATTTACTCTGAGTTTTTAGAGAAGTTTGTGGCTGCGGCTAAAAAGTGGAAGACTGGTGTTCCGTCTGACCCCAACAACAACAATGGAGCACTCATCAGCAAAGAACACCTGCAGAAGGTGAGTCTAATTAAATATTGACTGTTGATTATTTTCTTTTGTTGTTGACTTTCTTGAAACATCTCCTCTGTTTTAATCCCAAGGTGCGCAGCTTCGTGGCGCTCGCCAAATCTGAAGGCGCCACGCTCCACTGCGGCGACGGCGTGGACCCGCTGGACCTCCCACAGCGCCACAAGTCTGGCTACTTCATGCCCGCCACCGTCCTCTCAGGCGTGCCCGACAGCTCGCGCGTCATGCAGGAGGAGATCTTCGGCCCCGTCACCTGCGTCAGCCCGTTCGACAGCGAGGACGAGGCTGTGGCCAGGGGGAACGGCGTGCGCTACGGCCTGTCGGCCACCGTGTGGTCCCGGGACGTGGGGAGGGTCCACCGGGTGGCCCAGCGGCTGCAGGCGGGTGTGGTGTGGACCAACTGCTGGCTGGTTAGGGATCTGAATCTGCCGTTTGGGGGAATGAAGAACTCCGGGGTGGGGAGGGAGGGAGGGAAGGATTCCTATGATTTCTTCACGGAGGTGAAGAGCATCACTATCAAACACTGAGGCAATGATGCAATGCTGGCCAAAACAAGAATTTGTTGGTATTTAGATTTAGAAAACATAAAATTTCACCTCAGATCGTTTAAATTAATCCACATATTAGATGACATAATCAGTGGAAACCTACACAAGTATATAAACAAACAGAACCGATGTTATTGTCTAATAAAAAAAGAAGTATACAACCGTCCTTTTTATTCTTTTTTTTTCTGATTTTCTCCACCTGGTGGGTTTTAAGAAATAGTTAGTATCTTACCTGTTTAGAGAGCTCCATTATTAAAATCTAAATTCAAATAAAATAATCCAAAATGAATCAGGCACATCAGTGCGTCTGTTAACACTAAAACATGAAGGATGATTCAAGCTGAAGATGGGTGGATGAATTTTCAGATATTTTTTTTTGGCCTTGCTTTTATAATGATAAGTCATCATATACAACAAGAGTCAGATACTGCATACACACACAAACTATATATATATATATAAAAAAAAAAGACAAA